CAGGCCCCCACAGGGGTGTCAGCTCCCCTCCCACCCCCACGATGGTCTCCAGCCCCCTGCTCATTCCCCTGCTTTTCTCCAGCCTCTGGAGGCTGGAGATGAGCAGGAGAACAAGCAGGAGGCTGGAGAGAATAGGAGAATGAACAGGAGACTCATTCCCCCACCCCCATTGGTTCCCCCTGCTCCCCATTTATTCCCCTGGTCTCCACTAATTCCCCCTGTTCATTGCCCCCCTCCTGTTCATTCCCTGCACCCTCTGTTCATTCCCCCAGCTCCCCGCTTGCTCTCCCAGCACCCCCACACTCACTGGCAGTAGCAGTGAACGAGCAGGAGGCTGGAGATATCAGGGGAAGTCTCCAGCTTATCTCTAGGGGATTATGTCCAGCCTTCTGCTGGTCTCCAGCCCCCTGCTTGTCTCCAGCCTTGGGATGGAACAGAAGGCTGAGACTGCCCCTGGAGACATTCCCCTGCTGTCTCCAGCCACCTACTCCTTCCCCTGCTTGTTTCCAGCCTCAGGAGCTGGAGACAGCAGGGGAAGGAGCAGAGGGCTGGAGACAGCCCCAGAGACGTTCTCCCACTGTCTCCAGCCCCCTGCTTCTTCCCCTGCTTGTCTCCAGCCTTGGGAGAGCAGGGAACAGCAGGGGAATGTCTCCAGGGCTGTCTCCAGCCCCCTGCTTGTTCCCCTGCTGTCTCCAGCCACCTACTCCTTCCCCTGCTTGTTTCCAGCCTCAGGGGAGCAGGGGAAGGAGCAGGGGGCTGGAGACAGTGGGAGAACGTCTCTGGGGCTGTCTCCAGCCCCCTGCTTGTTCCCCTGCTGTCTCGAGCCTCCCGAGGTCCCCCCCTCCTCCTACAGCCCCCCAACCCCCTGCTTACCTGGCCAAAGCTGGGTCCAGGTCCCTGCAGTTTGCACCACTGCCTGCCCAGCATGGGCAGGCAGTGTGCTTCAGGAGTGGGGAAAGGGCCAATCATAGAGACGCTCTGGCACTGTACCAGAGCGTTTCTGGAGAACTGAGCCTCTGGTTGCCTTGGGGCACAGTCCCAGACCATGCCCTGACCCATTTTTTCCCCCCAAGTTTTTGTTTGAGCCCTGTATATCCAGGGGTCTAATTTTCTCCCCGTGCTGCAGACTTGCAGCACGGGGAACATTTTGTTATTCCTGCATGTGCCTCTTGCCCTGCCTCAAAGGGATTTGAAATGGGGCAAGAGGCATGTGTGCACTTGTCTGGATGCACCCAGTGTGTCCAGGCTGTGGGAGCAGCTTAGTATTACTATTATTAATATAGTTGAATAAAGAATCTCAAAGCCTTTATGCCATTGTTGAGAGCACTGCCAGAAACCATGACCCACCTTCCCACTCCTGCTCTGTATGTGCCTGTTCCCCAAAATGAGGCAGGGTAGCTTTATAAAGCAGGCGCTCTGTCTCGGTTGTGCCTGTTAACAGGTGTTCAACATTACCTGGAGCAGGAGCATAGTGGGGCAAGTGATGCATGGGGCAGTGTTAGCTACAACAGTGCCAATTGTGGTGGTGGTGGTGCTTTTTGCGCCACTCTCTCTCTTAAGGTGGCACCCAGAGATGCTTCCATGTTCAACAGACTTGGCTAGCACAAAGCTGAAGCAAAAAGACAAGCTGTTTTCCTGATGGTGCTCCTGAAGGCCAGGTGGACACACCCAAAGCCTTTTACAAACTCTCACAACCTCTCAGATAATAAAATATTCATCCCTATTTCACAGAAAGAACTTAAATGGTTTACTCCAGATCCTGTGTGAACAGCAGAATTAGGAACAGAACCCAGGAGTCCAGCCCCCTTGTTTCCTACACTAATTAATGTTCCATGCTCCCTGCTTAGAGAAAGAAATCATTTTTCTCTTTGACTTACTTCATATGTTACTAAACCTCAGTCTGAATCCCAGCACCCAACCTGCCGTATTTAATTTGTCTGTTTTTAGGTCACCTGTTTCAAATTGTATTCAAAGGCTGGGATTTTAATAGGAAATATTTCATTTTTTAAATCAGTCACAAATGACTTTATCTGTAGGGCTGACAGATTGTATATCCATATCTATGCTAAATAATAAGGAGCTATTTTTTTGGTAACACTACAAGTAAAGTATGTCCAGTACAATAACTTGTCCTTTTGTCCTCTACAGAGAGTACTTCATAGGCTATGGATAAAGGGTGCATTTGTGATAGTCTTAACTGGCAACCTGGTGACACTTTTCAGTAGTATTTGTGTGTAGGGGAAAAAAGTGTTACTCTGGCAGTAAAGAAACTATTTTTATATAGAGAGAGTC